CTTTTCCATTATGGTTTATCCCACGATATTGAATATAGCTCCCTGTGCTATACAGTAGGATCTGTTATCTGTGTGTGTTTTCATTCACTGAAGTCATTTCTGGCTCTTTGTGACCCCATGGACTGTAGCCTGCCAGGATCCTCTGTCCACGAAATGTCCCAAGCAAGTATACTGGAGTGGGTTGCTGTGTCCTCCCTCCAGGGAATCTTCCTGACCCAGGGATTGAACCTACCATCTCTTTCATCTCCTGCATTGGCAGGTGGATTCTTTACCATTGCACCTCGTGGGAAGGCTAAATACGAGTTGTCTGTGTAGGCCATTGATTCTTATGCCTTTCCCTTTAATTAATGCTTTAGCTACATCATTTCAATTTTGAAACTTTTATTATCATTCAGTTATAAATCTAATTTCCCATGTGATTTCTTTTTTTGATCAATGATTATATTAATATGTCTATTTTTCCCTTAAATTTTGCCCATTTTTGCTGCATGTACTTTGGGGCTATATTTTTAGGCACATGACACATCTATGACCCATTATGTCTTTTAATGAATTACACCTTTTATAGTTATGAAACATTACTCTTGATTTCTGGTGTTAACTCCTTAACTTGAAAAAAGTACTTTATCTGATTTCAGTATAGCCTCTCCAGCCATTTTATTGTTACTGTCTGCATGGTGTATATTTTTCCATACTTGTTACTTCAACTTATCTATGTCTTAAAATGCCCTTTTACGGAGGAAGAGTCAGACCTTGTGACATGCAGGTTCTTCGCCTGACCAGGGATTGAATCTGTGTCCCCTGTAGGAGAGGGACAGAGTCCTAAGCACTGGGTCACCAGGGATGTACCCTAAAATGTCTTTTTAACAGCATGCAACTGGGTCATGCTTCCTTATGTTCTCTGACAACTGTGTATTTAATGTAAATGTTTAATCCACTAATATTGAGTGCATTAATTATTGATATGACCAGGTCTCCCTTTTGCTCTTTATTTTCAATTTATCCCATCTATTTTTTTATTCATTTTGTCCTTCCTGTCCTGCCTTCTTCTGGGTTAATCAAATGCTTTTAAGAATTCTGTTTTAATTTCCTTGTTAGCTTTTTAGCTATACCTCTTTGTACTACATGCTAATGAGTCATTAAGAATTACACTATACATCCCTGACTTCTCACAATCGACTTCATTTTGTATCACTTCATATAAAATACAAGAAGCTTGAAGTGTATAGTTGTATTTACTTCCCCTCCAGGCCTCCATGAGGTAGTTGTCATATACATTACCTCTATAGATGCTATAAACTGTAACACATGTAATTCTTGCTTTAAATAGGCAGCCTTTTATTTACTTATATCTTTACCATTTCTATTACGCTTTATAGATCAGATCAGAGTTTCTGTCTGGTATCATTTCCTTCTACCTCAAAGAACTTTCTTTAGTATTTCTTATACTGCAATTCTGTCAGAAATTTATGCTTATCTTTATGGGAAATACTTTTTATTTGCCTTTTAAAAATAAAAATCTACCTTCATGCATTTTTTATTGTGATAAAATATCAACAGGAAGTTTACCATTTTAATCATTTTTCGGTGTTCAATTCAGTGACATTTTGCCTTCTTTTCTAAAGATTTTTTGGTTTGTTATCTATATAGAATTCCAGATTTATGTATTCCAGATATATATATCTGGAATTCTCCAGGCAAGAATACTGGAGTGGGTAGCCATTCCTTTCTCCAGGGAATCTTCTCGACCCAGGGATTGAATCCAGGGATCCTACAATGCAGGCAGATTCTTTGCCATCTGAGCCACAGGGAAAGCCCCAATATCTACCTACATATCCTTTATTCTTGAAAGATGTTTTCTCTAGCATTCTAATTTGATTTTTTTCCCTTAGAAATTAATTTCTTTTTTAATCTTATTTTTAATTTTTTAAATTTATTTATTTTTAATTGAAGGATAATTGCTTTACAATTATTGTGTTGCGTTTCTGCCAAACATCAACATGAATCACCATAAGTACACATATGTCCTCTCCCTGATTTTTTTTTCTTTTAGAGCTTTAAAGATTTATTTTCACTGTCTTCTGACCTCCTTTGTTTCTGAAAAGAAACAGTATTTCCTTGTATATAATGTATCATTTTTCACTGGCTGCCTTCAAAATCTTTATCTTTGGTTTTCAGCAGATTGGCAGTAATGTACCTGAGTGTGACTTTCTTTGCATTTATTCTACTTAAAGTTTGCCAAGCTCTTGCATTCACCTAGGTCATAAAATGTCAATAGGCCCCAAGGCCAGAAGATAATGTACAAGACTCTCACAAAGAAGTATGCAGAAAACACCCTGGTTTCATGAAGGATAAGCTGATGTAATATTAAACTGTCTTCCCCTTAAAAAATGTACTAACTTAGAATATAAAAGCTACGGTAAAAAATAAAGATTTGCCAGACTCTGCTGCAAAAAAAAAAAAAAAAGTTTGCCAAGCTTCTTCTCTTTAATAAAGTGTTTTCTTTTTAAAACAAATTAATTATTTTAATTGGAGGCTAATTACTTTACAATATTGTGGTGGTTTTTGCCATACATTGACATGAATCAGCCTTGGGTGTACCTGTGTTCCACCATCTTGACTAAAGTGTTCTTTTTTAAGTATTTATTTACTTGGCTGCATCAGGTCTTAGTTGAGGCAAGCGGGCTTAGTCGCCCTGTGGCATGTGGAATCTTCCCAGACCAGAGATTGAACCATGTCCTCTGCACTGGCAGGCGACTCTTAACCACTGAACCACCAAGGAAGTCTCCATCTCTTATATCTGTTCTCGGCCCCTCCGAGGGGCTCCGAAGAATCCCAAATTGCCTGTTTTCTTCTCTTTCTTCCTTTCTGGACCACAAGTTCCTTTATTGATTCTCTCATTCTCAGAACTTAGCAGAGCGTAACAGAGTGGTTAAAAAAAAAAGGCAGGCAAGTAACATGACCCTTAATATACATACAGCCCAGGTGCTGAAACAGACAATTTCAAGGTGCTTTAGGAGCCAGAAGAGGAAGCAACCATGTCTTCATCCGGGCAGTCAGGAAGCCTCAGGAAAGACAGCTTGATGATGTTGCTTGTCCTCTGATCGGTGGATCAAAGGAAAATCCCATGAAAAGCCAGAGACTCTCTTAAAGACTCTCCCAACCCTCTGGGTCTCCACTGAAATGAAAACAATGTCTTTCTCCACGTCACTCAAAGGAATAAAGAATCATAGAGCCTTGACCTATTTCTCTAACATTGCAGCCACCCACGATTTCTTTCCGTTCCTCTTGCCCATCTGGGAGCCTTTGAACATTTTCCTCCCTTACCCTAGAGTGTTTTCCTGGCCCTCTTCCCTTTGACTAACCTCTGAACAGTTTAAGGTTTCAACTTAGACGTCACTTTCTGGAGAAGAAGGAGGCTCCCTCCTCCCGCTCAGGGTGAACCCTGTTACACACCGCGCGGCAGCCCGCACTTCCCCTTTCTCAACACTTGCCTCATTGTCCTGCCCTCTGTTAGGGCTGTCGTCCAGTGGGCTGGAGTCTGTGACCGCGGGGACCACGTCATCTGGTTCCTGCCCGAGCAGAGTCTGGCACCTGGGAGGTGCTCAGAAATAGCTGTTGCTTCCAACAGTTCAGCAGTTGCTCAACTTCCTCATTTGAAAGAGAAAAACCAAGGCAGAGAGTTGGGAAAGTGAGTTTTCCAACAGTCTCATTAGCAGCCAGTGTTCTTGCCTGGAAAATCCCATGGACGGAGGAGCCTGGGGGGATACAGTCCATGGGGTCGCAAAGAGTCGGATGTGATGGAGCACACACACATGCATTAGTGTCAGGGCCAGACACAGTATTCAGGCTGGATAGCTCTCTCCCTGGGGTCCAGCTGAGTTGTCGTCCTGCCCTCCTTCTTTCCTTCCAGAGTGTGTGGATGGGAACATTGTGCTTTGTGGGGAGGGGCTTGTTTGTTCTTTTGTATTAGCTATACTTTTATATCTTCTAAGGTGTGCACAAAGGTAGAAGTCTCCCAGGAACATTTTCAATTCAAGGGGAAAACCCACTACTTTTGAAGAGTGAAAAGTGGATACTTTTAAAGTAATTTCCTCCCAACTTTTAAATTCGAAAACTTTCAGGCCTATAGGAAATTTTCATGAATTGGCCAATAAGCATCCAGGTATACTTCATCTAGATGAAGTTGCTAACATTTTGCACAGTGGTCCACTTTCTCTCTCTCCCCGAGTGTGTGTGTACATAGACCTTCTTTTTCATAAATACACACAGTATATCTAAGTAGATACTCTGTATGTACAGATACATTTATATTTTGCTGAACCATATAAGTCAGTTGTAGACATATTATATTTTATCCCTGAACACTTCAGAATGTATCCCTAAGAACAAGAGCATCCTCTTACACAACTAAAGCACAATATCACAATCTTACAATACTACTAGCTAATATACATCCATATTGGAACTTTCCCAGTTATCTTGATTACACCTCAAAAACTGTTGCTTTTAAAATCCAAGATCTAATCAAGAATCATGAACTGCATTTTGTGGCTATGTCTCTTTAGTCTTATCTAATGTAGAACAGTCTCCAGACTACTTGATCTTTCATGATACTGGCAGTCTTGAAGTGTCTAGCCAGTCGTTTTGCAGAATTTCTCTAATGTGGACTTGTCTGATTGTTTCCTCATGGTTGGATTCAGATTAAACTTTTTGTTGTTTTCTGTTTTCTCAGAAAGCTTGGCTGATGCCACGGGTGCCTTCCCATTGCAGTGCCTTCATTTCCGGTGTCCTGAGCCCCGAGGACATTTACCAGCTCCCCAGACCCCTAGGGCAGCGGGGAGGCCCAGGGAGCCGGCAGGTAAAGGCCAAAGCTCTGGTCCTGGCAGAGTTCACTGCCCGTGACAGCTGCCGACTGGGGGTGGGGGGCGCTCCTGCAGGGCCCCCGCGGCCGAAGCGGTAACTTCTCCTTTCCGCCAGGCGCGCTGGGTGGCCAGTGGTCACCTGTGGCTGCAGTCACTCTCTGTTGACACAGCTACAGAGGGGACACAAAGAGGGCTGGGGGCGTGGCTGTGCCAGCGCAGTCCCACCGGCGGGAGGGGACAGCTGGAGGAGAGGGGAACGATGACAGAGGGAAACGGAATAAAAAAACAGACCAAAAGTGGTAGATGAAGGGGACGCACACACAGCAGAGGAGGAGAGACGAGCAGAAACAGAAACAGCAGCAGCGACTCAGAAGCACAGGCCCCCGGGCCGGCGGAGTGGGGGGAAGAGCACCAGCTAATGTTCTTCATTAACAACTTCCCAGCCCATTACAGAGGCCCTTCAGCTTTGGGAATTTGGGAGAGAGAAGCAAGTCTGTGTTTATCCTGGTCAGACTCAAAGGGCACCAGGGTTTCTCCCCAGGGGCCGCATGGGGTCACCTACTCAGCTTGTACTTTTCCAAACTCGGAACTTCTCCTTGGTGTCCCAGGAGCCAGAAGGCCCCGGGCCAGAAGTTTCCTGCTCAGAATGTCTCCCCTCCTTCCACGAGGTTGTCTGCCGATGGGGAAGCCTGCTTGAGACACATCTGGGGCAAAGGGGAGGAGCAGGAGAGGAGCAGACAGACCAGGGCCCAGAGAAGAGCAGCACCCTAAAAATAGCCTTCCCTCTACGAGTGGGGAGGAACCCAGAATCCCAGGAGCTGCTGGCGGGTGTGACCTTCCTAACAGGCCGAGGATTTCTCACGGGAAAAGGGGCTCGGGCCAGGGAGCGGAGGGAGAGAGAGGCTGCTCGGCTCCTGGGAGGGAGCAGGGTAGAACACGGGACCTAAGCGACAGTTCGGGCTTCCCTGGTGGGTCAGTGGTAAAGAATCCGCTTGCCAGTGCAGGAGATGTGGGTTCGATCCCTGAGTTGGGAAGATTCCCCGGAGGAGGAGATGGCAACCCACTCCAGTACTCTTGCCTGGGAAATCCCATGGACAGAGGAGCCTGGCAGGGCTATAGTTCATGGGATCGCAGAAGAGTCAGGCACAACTTAGAGACCCAACAACAACAAAAGCGACAACAAAAGCTCTGCCAAGACGAAGCTCATCTGGATGCCACTAGTGGAAGCCTCCCGGTAGAGGAACTTAATGTGGACAGAGAGGGTTTTCGGGCAATAATGTGCACCGTCTGAACTTCTCTTTGGCCGGAAGAGAAGAAAAGGGAAAGAGGGCAGTCAGGAGCCATGACCCCGGTTTCAGGACTCACAGCTGAACCCAAGTGAAGAAGCCCCTTTCTGCCTCCTCTCCTTGGCCAAAGGAACACACGCAGGGCCCGGTATCTTACCAAGGAGGTTGAGGGGGGTCAAAGGGCTGGAGAGGACCTCCCGGAAACTCTCCAGCCATTCACGCTGCTCCTTCTCGCTGGGGCAGGTGAAGACGAACCTCCGGTGGGGGGTGACGATGGTGAGGCCAGCTTTCCAGCGGTTCCCTCGGATGCCCTTGGGCAGGTCTTCGAATACCTGGTACCCCTGTTCGTTGCTCCCGAGAAACACCTGGCCCAGCTCGAAGGCATCCTGAAAAGAGAGGACAGAGGTCATCAGAGGCCACACCTGGGGCAGAGGGCCACCTGCAGGCCTGAGAGCCCCCAGGTCCATCTGAGTAAGAGGGCTGTGTGTGTGTTGGGTGGGGGCCTCAGCTGGGGATTTCAGCTAGGTGGACCCCAGAATTTAAAAGGCTCAAACTATAAAGGAAATTACACACAGCCTCTGTTTAAATGAGCTTCTCTGGTGGCTCAGTGGCAAAGAACCCTCCTGCAAAGCAGAAGAGGTCGGTTGGATCCCTGGGTCAGGAAGATCTCCTGGAGGAAGGCACCGCAAACCACTCCATATCCTTGCCTGGGGAATCCCATGAACAGAGGAGCCTGGCGGGCCACAGTCCATGGGGTCACAAAGAGTCAGACACGACTTAGCAACTAAACCACAACATCTGTTTAAATGACACTTAATGTTTGCATGTGTGCATGCTAAGTGACTTCAGCCATGTTCAACTCTTTGTGACCCCATGGACGGTAGCCTGCCAGATTCCTCTGTTCATGGGATTCTCCAGGCAAGAATACTGGAGTGAGTTGCCATGCCCTTCTCTAGGAAATCTTCCCAACCCAGGGATCGAACTGCATCTCTTAGGCCCCCGGCATTGGTAGATGGGTTCTTTACCACTAGCACCACGTGGGAAGTCCCATACTCAGTGTTTATGGAGCGCTAACTCTGGGAGTTGGCAATGGACAGGGAGGCCTAGCATGCTGCAATCCCTGGGATCGCAGAGAGTCGGACATGACTGAGCAACTGAACTGAACTCTGCACTAAGAATTCAAGTGCTTTATGTATACTAACTCATAGAATAATCCTCAGGGCAACCTCTGAAGATGGCAGTGTTATTAAGTCATCTCCTGATTGAGGAGACCCAGGCAAGGAGAACTGAGTGGTCTGCCAAAATGACACGGGTGCACCCCTGAAAGTGGCAGGGCTGGTCCCAGAGCCCAGACAGTCGAGTCCTAGAGCTCTTACTCCCAACCGTGACTCTCCACAGCCTCCATGTTGGAAGGGAGCCCTGGAGACTAGAGGATGGGAACCCCTCTCTTGGCTACACTGGCAGCTTCTGGACACACGTGAAGGACTTCCTGAAGGTGAGGAAGAGCACAGTTTCATGCACAACGATGACTTAGAGACAACCAATGATGGAGGGGTGTCTCTCGCTGGGTCTCTCCAGCCCTGTCGGATCCCCATGTTCCCCGACCAGCTCTGACCCCACCTCCACCTCTGGTGCTCAGCGGACGGGCGATCTGTGACTCTTACCAGCGGGTTCTTGTAATAAAGCAGCCTGCGCTCCTGGGGATCCAGAGCAAACCACCTTTTCTTGAAAGGTTCTCTCTGCTGCAGAAGAGGGAACTTCGTATCAGGCTTGGCCAGGCCAGGGGGGCACACGGCCAGCCTGGGCCAGGACAAGAGAGCTGGCCAGTTCCTGGCTTGGCAGCCGGACACCCCAGTGCTCCCCCCACCCCTGGGCGTCAACCTCTGATGGCTCCAAACACCCCCCTCCACCCCAGCTTTCCCTTGCAGCCTCCAGCCGCTACCTATGTGCATTGGAAGAAGCATTTTCCTCTTTCTCAGGCTGTGGACAAGACATCTCAGAAAAAGGAAGCTGGGAAATCAGAAGTGGCTACTGCTGAGCACTTCTGAAAGCCCTGGCCTTGGCCAAATTCTAACCTAGGTCAGGGGAAGGAAAGTCCCCCTAAGAGCCACAGGGGCGGTGCCACCAGCTGGTGAAGGACGAAAACCTGCAACCCTTTATAAACCCAGCCGTCTGAGGCTTCCTTTACCGTGAACGCCTAACACTTTCACTGTCATCTTAACAAACATCGCGTCAGCATATTACACCTTAAAAAAAAAAGCATCGAAAAGCCATTGCTTTGGGATTTTTTCTTTTAGGGAGTTCCTCTGCTTTTCTTTGGGAGAAGGAAATGACACCCCACTCCAGTATTCTTGCCTGGAAAATCGCATGGACAGAGGAGCCTGGCAGGCTACAGTCCACGGTGTTGCAAAGAGTCGGACAAGACTGAGCACACACACATCTGCTTGCTTCTTCCTTCTTCCTTCTCCTCCTCCTCCCTTCTCTGCTTCCCTGCACCACCTCCCTAGCACAACCCCCCACCATCTCCATCTTCTGGCTTGGAGCCTCACCCCACCAGCATCCAGGCTGGGTCTGAGATGTCCTGGCATGGCAGGGGCCTCACTGGCCTCCAAGCATAGGTACCGAGGTGAGTTCTCTCAGACCAATCACTACTCCTGCCTCACTTGAACGGTCCTGGTAGGGCCCCAGCTTGGAGCACACAAGTGTTCAAGAGCTGCCCCCCAAAGAAGCTGTGCTTTTCAACTGTGCTTTCCCAAGAACAGGGTCAGTTAGATGGTGTAAAGACAAGAGCCACTGATGGCGATGCTGATAAAGAAGAAGATGCCCAGTTGCAGGAAGAAGCGCCTGCAGTGAGGCTGGACCACCCGCCAGCCACCCCATCTCCACTTGGTCCTTCACCCCCGGAACTCACAAAAGTCCATTTACTTCCGCTTCCTCCCTCCTCCCTGCCCCTGGTTCCCCATTTTCCCACCTCCCCACTTTGGCCCCATTGCCCACTGGGACTGAGGCCATGAAAGTCCGCCCCAGGAACATGGGATGTACCTTTGGACCGGTCTTTTCCATGAAGCCTTGTTTGAGATAGTTCCTGGTGATGAGGGGCACAAGCTGCAGGAAGAGAGACACACACTGACCCCCTGCCTCCCACCCCAGGAGGCTGAGCTTCCCCAGCGAACTTGGGCTCCCTGACAAAGGGGGAAGTTTGCAATGGGGAAGGATGTGTGCACATGGTTATATTTGGTATGGATACAACGCTAACATTTCGACAGAGCCCGACAACAGCACCCCAGATGTCTGCAGAGCTAACCAGCACAGCTGAGTCTTGGTATAAAGACTTAGTTTAAGGGTTCCTTCAGCAATTCCAGGAGAGGGACACAGGTCAGGCTCTGGGGAGACCCTCCTGGTATCAGGGTGGGTATCTACTGTGGGTCATCAGTTGGATGGCATCACTGACTCGATGGACATGAGTTTGAGCAAGCTCCGGGAGTAGGTGATGGACAGGGAAACCTGACGTGCTGCAGTCCATGGGGTCACAAAGAGTTGGACATGACTGAGCGACTGAACTGACTGACTGCATGTCAGGCTCTGCACGTAATTCTCAACCACCCTGTGAGGTGGATGTTATCATTTTCATGGTCTGCATGAAGAAACAAGACCTCAGAAAAGTCACTGAGGATTTTCCCAAAGACATGTCGCTGGTAGGATGAAGAACTTTCACCACCTAGAGCCGACAGACACCAGCCAGACCCTAGTGATACCTCTACTTCTACTGTATGATGCTCAAGTATAAATATGCCAGAACCTTCTGATCAGACCCTTGGCCAGACCTGGGCATTGGTGGGGATTCTGAGCCAGGGCCATAGGAGGCGATGGCAGGATTGATTAAGTAGAGAAAGCTCTGGACTAGGAGTCAGGAGACTTGAGTTCTAGCTCCAGGTCTGACCTCAACCAGCTGTGTTACCTTGGTAAGACCTTATGCCTCTCTGGGCCTGTTTCCGTGTAAAAAGGATACCGAATTATGTGATCCGCAAGACCGTCCTACACCCAGAGAAGTTTCCACGGATTGACACTGGCCTCCTATGTTCCAGGGTGTCAAACTGGCAAGTCTAGAGCTTCAGATGGGAACAGAGCCTGGGTCAAGAGCAGGGGCAAAGGGGATGTAAGATTTGGGAGTAGGAATGGGAAGTCTGAAGGGAGAAAGTTGTGAGCAAGAACCAAAAATATAAAGGACACCACTCCCCTTTCCCTAAAATGCATTCTGGAGGCTTTAATTCCTTCATTTGGAGCAAAGACAAAAGAGTCCTAATTGCTCAATCGTCTGAACTGAAACCTGAGCAGGGTGAATCTAGGCCTTGAGAAGGAGAAAGAGGCTGGGGATGGGGTACTATGCACTGCACCTTAGATGCCTTGGCTCACTGGACACATGTAGCCCTCGAGGCAGGGACTGTCCCAGTGGTGACAGATGAGTAGACTGGGGCTCGGAGAGGTGAGGTCACTTGCCCTTCGTAACACATCAGCTTCCCTGCCTTTGGGTCCATGTGTTTCTTTGCACAGGACCACAGTCCCACTGGGGTCCCCCAGGTTTCTGGCACTGGGGCCCTGAGCTCGAACCAGACTTGGGTGGTTGCTCAGAACATCACACCCTATGTAGACATGGGGGGAGGAAAGACGGGGAGAGAGGCAGGCGGGGAGGATACTAGGGGTGGATAAGGGGTAACGATAGTGGATGAGGGAGGAAGAGGACATTGAGGATGTTGACCAAAGCCCAGTTTCCCCCGCACGGGTCAGCCGAGTTGGAGAGCTGCCCAGACAATGAGGCAGGGCATCTGAAATTTGTCCTCCAGTCTTTCCAGGCAGCAGTCAGCAACCCCAGTGCCACACCCATGCAAGTGGGCATTCGCCCGCTATGGGTGCTGACTCTGCAGACGGGGAGGGCCCTGAGCCAGGCCTGGCTGGAGGAACTCATAGAGACCTGCCATCCCAGTGCATCCCTAGGTCTGGAATGGACCCCTATCCCGGACACTTCGGTCCCTGCAAACTGGGGAATTAAGGAGCACTTAGGGTTTAAGAAGGGTCTAACAGTTGGGAATAAGAAAGTCCCAGGAATGGGACTTCCCTGGTGGTCCAATGGTTTAGACTCTGCACTTCTACTGCAGGGGGCACAGGTCCCATCCCTAATCAGGGAAATAATACCCCACAGGCTATGTGGTATGGCCAAAAAAGTCACAAGATTAACATGGTCTTTCCAGCCCCTATCTCTTACAAAACCCTTCCAGAGCAGGCCTAACACAGGGCCCAGAGTACAGCACCTCAGCGTTAGAAGAGACCCTGGAGATGACCCAGAACAAGTGCATCTTACAGATGTGGGAACAGATGCGCACAGAGGCGACTCCACCTGCAGTGGGCACAGGGCAAGTCAGCAACAGAGCATCCACTAGGGCCCCGGCCTCCCGGCTCACACCCTCCGGCCCACACTCTACAGCTTCCCCAGCCGAGCCTGAGGGATATACATGGATGCCCCAACCTCTGAAGACAACGGGAATGAAGTTCTCAGGCTCACTGTCACCTTGGCCCTGAAAGGCAGACTCTTCCTGTTAGAATGACAATGAGAAAGATCCCACCGCCTTCCTTAAAGCAGACCAGGAAAGGGCAAAGTGGGGGGTGTTTAAGTGGGAAGAACACCTTCGGTTATGCACTTGACCTTCCTGGGACTCCGTTTCTAATCACTGGAATGGGAATAATCACCTCACCTAACTGCTGGCAGCAAAGGACGATTAGATAAAAGGGACGACAAGATAAAGCAGGTTCAGAAGCACGTTGTAAGCAGTATGTGAGGGACCATTTGTGCATTTAAGTGGGAGAAGAAGTCAGAAAGAGATGCCCAAATCCTGAGCCTTTTGACTTTGTGAGTGACATATCCCAAGGGGGAGAGTCTGATCTGCTTTTTGGAGACTGCCTTGCCAACAGTGAGCCCATAACCCCCAGCCTCCCCAGGAGAAAGCTTTTGGTTTCCTGCTGAGGTCCCCAACCCCAAGGCTCAAGGTCTTTCCTGCAGTCAAACCGAGTCTGGCCTCTGCGGGTGTCTTTGAGGTCAGCCAACCAGGAGCACAGGAGGTGGCAGACAGGAGCCGTGGAAGTCGGGGTCTGCATTTAGCTCACCTCAGACTCTGGGAGCTCAGGAAGGGCCATTTTAAGGTATTGGAGACGGGCTGCACGGAGGGCGTTGAACCAGTCCACTATCTCCTGCAGAGAGACATGCAAAGGACAGACAGACAGTCAATGAGACTGAGTGCAGGCTGGGAGCCTGGGGTGGGGGTGGGGTGGCGGGGCCGGGCAGCTGAGGCTGGTAGCAGGCAGCCAGCTGGATCTTCAGGTTTGGACACATGCACACCCCCCAGTCCTACTCAACTGACCCCAGGCACCTGGGAGGTTGGTGCCAGAGCCCAGGGCGTCACCTGAGCAAGTGGGAAACATATCCCCAGGGCCATGGGAAAGGACCAAGGCCAACCGCACAGGAGCTATGCAGGGGCCCAGCACAGTGCTTGGCACTTGCTGCTGTATGTATGCATCATCCGAGGATCTCATTAAAATGCAGATTTGAATTCAGTGGGTTTGGGGTGGGGCCTGAGATTCTGCATTCCTAACAAGTTCACAGATGATGAGTTGCTGGTCATTGGGAGACATGTTGAGGAGCAAAGGTCGTCAGATGTCAAAGATCGGCTTTCAGGTGGGGGCAGGTACACCTGGGGATGCTCCATCAATGCAGATGCTCATCACCTGGAGTGCAACTTAGGCTGAAGCTGGCGTGGACCTCCTGTGTCCCTCTGGGAGAGCGCCTCCCTCAGCAGTGTCTACCATCATCTCTTACCTGCTGAACCCCTTATTTCAGCTGGTTCTGCCTCTGCTCTGCCACTCTTCATTCAGTCCTTACGGGAGCCAGAGTGATTTTCAAATTGCAAATCTAACCGAGTCTAGCTTAGAGTCCTCTCCACTACCCTCAGGGAGAGTCTTAAGTTCTTTAGCATGACTTACTTTGCCCTGTGGACTTCCCCGACAGCTCAGACAGTAAAGAATCTGCCTGCGGTGCAGGAGACCCAGGTTCGATCCCTGGGTCGGGAAGATCCCCTGGAGAAGAATATGGCAACCCACTGCAGTCTTCTTGCCTGAAGAATCCCACGGACAGAGGGGCCTAGAGGGCTACAGTCCGCGGGGTCACAAAGAGTGGGACAGGATGGAGCAACTAACACCGTCACTTTCACTTTGCTCTCTGAGCTCTTTCCATACAAAATCATTTGCAATCACTGCTCCCATGTTCTTCCCTTCTCTTGGATCACTCTGCCTCACCCACCTCTCTGCCCTCACCCCTTGATACACCTTTTATCTAGAACATTCTATTCATCCTGAGAGTGAGTTTAGACGGAATAGATTTTTGCTCCACCCAAACCCTGATTCTACGAAAAATGCCCCACCCATTCTCAGCCACGCACCACCCATCCACAGTTGCAGTCACACTTGCTGCTATGATCCTACCCCTTCTTGGCCACAGAAACTGGATGAGGGCTGGACCAATACAGAGGCTGAACAGGGCTTATCAGTTTCTATCTCACAGGAGTATGGAATTGAGGAGAGGAAAGACCTGTTCAAATAGCTGTTGTGCTGCACTGGATGTAATACAGTGATTGAAACATTCATTTGAATTTGGTTTCAAAGGTATGAAACATCAGTGCCTTTTCTCTGTTTTAGGTCAAGCTTTGCTAGTTCAGTATTCCTAAGCTCTCTTGACCAGGGCATTAAGAACCTTATAGGGTTTCAGGCACTAAGGGAAGGGGATCATCCCCACGGGAGACCCACCTAGGCCTTCACTTTGGAAAGACTCTTCCGGTCACAAATCCAACCTGCATACAGGTTTGTTTGTCCTTAAGTTTTGCCTGGTTCAGTTCTCTATACCTGTGTTCCTGTTTGCCACAGACTTAAGGCTGTCCACTTTACTTTTAATTTGCCCACCTGGCTCCTGCAGGCGTGAGTTTGTAGCCCCCCATTTATGCCCATCTAAGGGAGAAGCTGGGGCATCACCAGGGAGAGGAGACTGGCCAGAACCAGGTTGTCAGAGGCTCTACAGCTGAGCCAGTGGGAGGGAGTCAGGTACCGTAAGTGTCTGAGATCGTGGGCACCTCAGCAAAAGTCCTTTAGCAGCGATGGGCGTGGAGAGGTAGCCACTGGTATCCAGTCAGTGGACTGGGGCTGCAGCAGTGAGCCCACCATGGATTGAGAGCCAGGGATCTCCTCCATGTCTCCTCGACTGCACCAGTCCCAAGATTCTGCTAAAGCCAATGGAGGGAGCTGAGAAAAATGAGTGGCACTAGACTTCTTGGCAGTTTGGGGAATGAGACCCTTGCATTTAGAGAAGCAAAGAAGCGAGATGTCACTTGCATTCCTGGTTTTGTAGAACAATATGTTCCTGTTAAGGGTGTATTCTCTCTCTCTCCAAACACACACAGAATCACACACACCACAGTTCCTAATTCTAATCTCTCAGGTGGCCCAATCATGCTTCTGTCCCTTGAAATAAATACCCCTGTTTCTTTTCCACTCATGACCCTTTTAAGCTGGTTTGAGTGTTCTCCTTCTCAGCATATTCACACAATTCTTAAGTAGAACCTCCTTCTTTGGAAAACCTTTTAGATTGCCCCCTCCCACCCCAACCCCCGCCTCCCCCGGACTAGGCCACTTATATGTCTCCTGTGTGTGTCTCTAGCACAGCCTCCACCAGCATCATCACATAGTATCTTCAGGGCCTATTTCCCCACCTGTCTCTTTCCCAGGACTATGAGATCCTAGAAGCCCACTCATGGCTCTGCCTCATTCACTACACACCCCAGTGCTGGGCACGTTGCAGGGAGGTGCGCCATAAGGATTTATTGAAAGAGTGACGTCCTGACTGCAGAAATGATCAGAAACGGCTCTCAAGAGCTTGTCTTCCGCTGCTGCCACAGTCATGAACAAACAACAACAGTGACAACTAATGTTTATAATGCACTTCACAGTAATGAGATGCATTCACATTCATGGTTCACAGTCTCTCAATCCTCAAGACCCCTCCGGGAAGTGGGTATTATCAACCATACACAAGCAGGCTTAGGAGGGGGAGGGACCTGCCCTAGTAACACGCCAGGGAGCGGCAGAAGCAGGGTCCCAGCTTCTGACTCCAAACCCCAGCTCTTCAGGCCACGCGGGGACGTCAGCCCAGACTGTGGAGAGAGCATGAAGCCTGCTGGGAGGACGATCCACGGTCAGTATCCCAGTGCTGGGGCCTCTTGGGAAGATCCAGTCCCTGTATCTAGCTTCTGACTCCTGCTGTCAAGGGTCTTCCCTCCAGCAGAGGCGTACGGGGTGTCAGACAGGTGCAGGGTTCAGGAACCATCGGCCACATGACTCTGAGCAAATTACTTAACACGCCCATGCCTCAGTGCGTGTGTACTAAGTCACTTCAGTTGTGTGCAACCCTTTGCAACTCTATGGACCGTGGCCCGCCAGGTTCCTCTATCCATGGGATTGTCCAGGCAAAAATACTGGAGTGGGTTGCCATGGCTTCCTCCAGGGGATCTTCCTGACCCATGGACTGAACTTTCATCTCCTGTGACTCCTGTACTGCCGGTGGATTCTTTACCGCTGAGCCACCAGGGAAGTCCCATGCCTCAGTAACATGGGGATAAAACATTTCCAGGGTTGTTTTGAAGATTAAGAACTGATGTACAAGACTTCCCTGGAAGTCCAGTGATTAAGACTCCACGCTGCCAATGGTTCCATCTTTGGTCAGGGAACAAAGATCCCACATGCTGCACAGTAGAGCCAAATTAATTAATTAAATTTTTTTTTAAAGAAAAGGAATAATGTATAGTGATCACCAAGAAAAGTGCCCAGCTACAGAATTAATAGCAACTCACAGAACGTCAGCCCCCACCTCTGCACCTCCTCACCTCCACTTAGCATCTCTGACCTTTGCCCAGTCACATGACCCTACCATTTAGAGCCGGCTTTTGTCTTTGCAGCTGTACTATTGGCCTGCTCTTCTCTGATTGAGCTGACTTCCTGGACCTTTGATAGAGCGTCTCAAACTTCAGTGTGCATGAGTATAACCTGGGGATCCTGTGAAAATGCAGTTTCTAACTCAGCAGGTCCAGGGTGGGCCCGAGACACCAGTTCTAACAAGCGCCCAGGTGATGCTCCTGCAGTTGGTGCCGGACCACACACTGAGAAGGGAGGCCGTGGGATGCACTGTTTGAGCTTCGAGTCATCCCTCCTCTCATATTTGGAATCTCTGGCTGCACCCGATTTGCCACCTCTGGGCATAGCCCTGTCTGCTAACCGGATGCCCTTGGGTGGCTATGCACCATCCAGACACACCCCCGGTCCCCGCCAGGTTCCTCTCTCAGATCGCACTCTGCCTTAACTTCTACTCTGTCTCCGACCAGAAGTGACAACAGGGACTTCCCTGACGGTTCGTTGGTTAAGACTCAGTGCTTTCACTGCCGAGGGCCCGGGTTTGATCCCTGGTTGGGGAACTAAGATCCCACAAGCCACGCAGTGTGGCCAAAAACAGAAAGTGACAACAGATTAAAGCGAACAGCAGCAGCGAATCTCAAGAGCCTGTTGCGCCAGGGAGTCAGGGAGCTGGGCCTGCAAGGTTCGGGGCTACTGAGCTGGAGGCTGGAGTGGCAACGCCATCCTCTCACCTTCCCATTCTCGTGGTACACAAACAGGTTCCGAATGTGGCCATCTCTCCGGTAGGTGATCTGCAGCCCGTGGGGGTTCCCAATCTTCTCTGTCTGGAAGGTGGCATTCAAGTCCTTGATGCTGATGACAGCTTTGGGGTCTTTACCCTAAAAGAGAGGAATCGGATACTCAGGATGCCTACAGTCGGTGGAGTGACTTCTCATCACCTTTGTTGGCGAGCCTTAAGGCAAACATGACCAATTCGGAACTCCACATGGGTTTTTAATGTTCTTGCCGTAATATCAAGATCCAGAGATATTCTACCACTCTCTGTATCCAGCCATCCCACCAATCCTGCTTAATCAGTGGGCTTCTCTGAGCTGGAAAGGGGCTTGGAAAGACCGTAACTTAGAACTTTTCAAGCTTTTCAGCCATAGAACTTTTTCTAAAATAAATCATTAGGATTTCCCTTAGCGGTCCAGTGGTTAGGACTCCATGCTTCCACTGTAGGGGGCACGGGTTCAGTTCCTGGTCAGGGAACTAAGATCCTTCATGCTGTGCAATCAAAAAAAAAATTTTTTTTATAATGAATATCCATGGAAGCCAATCAAATGAAACAGATAAACAAGTAAAAGCAGTGGTGGGGGCCTCAGAGCATGCCTTCCCACACTCTACTCTGGTCTCAGGGTCTGAGCACAGTCTGAGCACTCCCTGATGCTAAGAAGGCAGAGGGAAAACAAATGCTTCCTTCCATAACTGATGAGAGGAAGAAAAATGATACAGCAATCTAGTCCCATAGTAGCTGTAGCTGTAGTCACATGTAGATACTAAAATTAAAATGAATTAAAGTTAGGACTTCAGGGACTTCCTTGGTGGTCCAGTGGCTAAGACTCGGTTCTTCCAAGGCAAGGGGCCCAGGTTTGACCCCTGGTCAGGGATCTAGATCCCATAGCTGCCTGGAGTTCCTGCACGCCACAACGAAGACCAAAGATCCTGAGTGCTGCAACTAAGACCCATCACAGCCAAATAAATAAGTAAATATTTTTTTTTAAAGAGACTTTAGTTCCTTGGCACACATACTCCCATTTCGGTTCTCAGCGGCCCTCTGTGGCTAGTGGTTAGAGTGCTGGACAGATGCAGACATAGAACATTTCCATCGCTGACAAAAGTTCTAATGGACAGTCTTCTCTAGAGGGAAACTTGATCTTATTTATTAAAACACTGACTGTTTTGCTCTGACCCACAATTTCACATCTCAGAATCCATCTGAGAAAGTAACTGCATTACTATGCAAATACATATGTCAAAAGATGTTTTACTACTGTGTTGCTTATATTAGTAAAAAAAAATTATTTAAATGTCCATCAATGATAATGGGTTAAATAAATAAATAAATCATGGCACGTCCACACAACAAAATATCACAGAATTGTTTAAGGGAAATTTAAATCAATATTACTAATATGAAACAATATCCATGATATCTACGTGTAAGAAATACCAAATAGTAGGACAGGATATACAGTAGGAACCTATTAATGCAAAAATTGTACACACATACCATACATATACATATGCTACCTGCACGTAGTGTATATACGATGTACATAAACTATATGTATGTATGTTTATTTGCACATACGTAAGAAGTATGGACAGATTCAGGCCAACACTCTTCATAATGCTTTCTTGAAAGATTACTAGAAGACTTTCCTTTTAAAATATTTACTATGAAAAATACTAAAAATACAAAAAAGTATTTTTTGACAATATTGTTCCTTAAAAGGAAATTTATTTAAAAATATGACATTACTAATAAAGTCAAAATCCCTTTAATTACTGCTTACTCTGTCCCTTCCCCTCCTCCATTCCCCATAGTCAATCACTGTCATGAGTTTGATGTTCATCTTTCTAGCTCACTTTTTATACTTTTATACACACAATACACATGGCTATGAACATACATGTTATGTGGCTTTAATTTACATAAATGGTATCATATAATATAGCTCATTCTACATCTTACTTTTGTCACTCAACCTGGTAGTTTTTAGTTCTATCTGTGTTGAAATAAATCCATCTACTCAGCTCTTGTAAATGACTATACCAAAAGTTATCCATTTATTTTCCTGGTGACAAATATTGAGATCGTTTCTAATTTTTTGCTGCAGTCAGCTTGCGTCCTTGGCATACATCTGTGAGGCTGTCTCTAGGTCACAGTACATACTTAGGAATGGAACTGCTAGCTCATAAGTGTGTACATCTTTGACTTACTGAAACCTGCCAAGTTATTTCACTACTAGCTCTCCGCAGTGGTTGCCCCAATATTTACTTCCAACAATAACACAGAAGAGTTTTCCTTTCTCCATATCCTCACCAACACTTGATGCTGCCAGTTTCCTAACATTTTGCCAACACGATGAATTTGAATGGACTCTCAATTTGTTGTGAATTTTCACGTATTCAGCTTAACTGAGGTATAATTTGTAAGCAATAAATGGAACTCATTTTAAGAGTACAGTTTTTTGACAAGCATATATGCTCACGTAACCACCACCACAGTCAAGTTATACACCAGGGATTTCCCTGGTGGTCCAGTGATTAAGAATCCCCTTTGCAATGTAGGGGATGAAGGCTCAGTCTCTAGTCAGGGACTAAGATCCTACATGTCGCAGAGCAACTAAGTCCATGAGCCACAGCTACTGAGCTGGTGCGCTCTAGAGCCCATGCACCACAACAAGAGAAGCCACCAGAATGAGGAGCCCGTGCACCACTAGAGAGTAACTCCTGCTCGCCACAACTAGAGAAAGCTTGAGCACAATGAAGACCCAGCACAGCCAAAAAACGGAATAAATAAATACTTTTTTAAAAAAAGAGGCGCAATCTCTATCCCCTCCCCAAGGACTGATGCTGAAGCTGAAACTCCAATACTTTGGCCAACTGATGTGAAGAACTGACTCACTGGAAAAGGCCCTGATGCTGGGAAAGATTGAAGGCGGGAGGAGAAGGGGACGACAGAGGATGAGATGGTTGGATGACATCACCGACTCAATGGACATGAGTTTGAGTAAACTCTGGGAGCTGGTGATGGACAGGGAGGCCTGGCGTGTTGCGGTCCATGGGGTCACAAAGAGTCAGACACAACTGAGCAACTGAACTGAACTGAACCGAATTGGTTTTGGTTGCATGACTTGAACTGACCAATAGCGAGCAGTTCCTGGCCTAAGCTTTGAGAGGCCTGGCAGCATCCTCGTTTGCTTGGGGGAAGTTGGCCGCCATGCTGTAACAAAACTTGAGCTGGACTCCTGAATGAGGAACATTCACAGAGAGAAAAGCCACAAGGAAGCAAAGCATGAGACATGTGAGTGAAGGCTTTCTGGGTCTCCGAGCCCAGCCCAGGAAAATGTAGCAGAGGGAATGACCCAGTTGAAGTCACAGGGAGTACCCTGCAGCAGCCACCACCTGCTCAAATTCCTGACCCCAGAGGATTATGAGACACAATCAATTGCTATTTCAAGCCACTAAGTTTTAGTATTTACCTAAAATACTCAGTCGTTAGACATCTTTTCTCATCCACCCCCATCCCCCATCTCGGTGAATCCAACCAGTCCTGTTGCTCAACCAGTTTGCATGCTGCTGACTCCAGCTCAAAACTTTCCCCAAAACTCTAGACTCAGAACTTCTGAGAACGTCTTCCTCAGTCTCTACGTGGATGACTAATAAGCATCTCAAATGAAAAAGGACTCATAATCATCCCCTCAGGGAGCTAAATCTTTGCCATCTCAGCAAATGACAAACTAACCTCATAGTTGCATAAGGCAAAAAATCTGGGATGCATTCTTATTTTTTGCTGTGCAGGGTCTTCATGGCTGCCCTTGGGCTTTCTCTAGCTGCCGTGAGAGGAGGCTACTCTCTCTCTAGTTGCATGGGCTTCTTAATGAGATGTCTTCTCTTGTTGTGGCTCACAGAGTGGTCCCCAAGTGGGCCCCAGAGCACTTGGCTCAGTAGTTGTGGCATACAGGCTTAGTTCTTCAGAGCACGTGGAATCTTCCTGGAGCAGAGATCGAACCTGTGTCTTCTGCACTGGTGGGTGGATTCTTAACCATTGGACCACCAGAGAAGTCCTGTGGCTCATTCTTGGTCCCTCTGGCTTTCACACCCCATGTCCAATCCTTCGGTAGATCTCACTGGTTCTATTTCCAAAATGCATGCAGACCACTTTTAACCATCTCCAACACCATTATCCTGATCTTGGATTATTGTAGTAGCTTCCTAACTGGTTTCTCTGCTTCTACTCTTGCCTCCTCCTGCCCCACTCTTGCCCAAGTAGCAGCCAGAGTGTCTCTTTTTAAAAGTTTTAGTCAAAGCTTATCACTCTTCTGCTCAAAACCTTCCTGCATGCATGCTAAGTCACTTCAGTCATGTATGATTCTTTGCGATGCTATGGATCATAGCCCACCAGGCTCCAAAGTCCAAGGGATTCTCCAGTCAAGAACGTTGGAGTGGGTTGCCATGCCCTCCTGCAGGGGATCTTCCTGACCCAGGGATCGAATTTGGGTCTCTTATATCTCCTGCATTGGCAGGCAGGTTCTTTACCACTAGTGCCACCTGAGAAGCCCCAAAACCCTCATATGTCTTCCCAATAGCAGAGTAAAATCCAAACACATAAATTTTTTGTAAAAATATTCTGGTGATAAACCATAATGAAAAAGAATATTAAGAAATAAGAATGTAATTTTTTTAAAAAAGGTCATATACCCAATAAGGGCCTTGTATATAGACTATATAAAGAACTATTACAGCTCAAAAAAAACCCCAACAAATAACATAATCAAAATATGAGAAAGGGCTCTGAATAAACATTTCTACCAAGAAGATGTGCAACTGGCCAGTAAGTACATCAGAAGACACACAATATCACTAGCCATCAAGGAAATGCAAATCGAAATCACAATGAGATATTATCTTGTACCCATTAAGATGGCTGTGATCAAAAAAGATAGATAATAACAAACATTGGTGAGGATGTAGAGAACCCTCATACACTGCTGGTGAGAATGTAAAATGGTGCAGCTACTTTGGAAAAATTTCTCAAAAAATTAAACATAGAGTTACTATATGACTCAGCAGTTCCACTCCTAGAAATTACCCAAGAAAATTGGAAACGTAGATTCACATAAAACGTTGTACATGAATGTTCATAGCAGCATTATTCATACTAGCCAAAAAGTGGAAAGAACTGTTCATCAGCTGATGAATAAATAAGTGAAATGTGGTATATCCGTACAGTGGAATATTACTTGGCAATAAAAAGAAATGAAGTACTGATACATGCTACAACATGAATGATCCTTAAAAACCTAATGCTAAATGAAGGGAGTCTGCTATAAAAGACCACATATTGTATGATTCCATTTGTGTGAAATGTCAAGAACAGGCAAATCTGACAGTGGATTAGTGGTTGCCTAGGGCAAGGGGAGGGCTTCCCTGGTGATTCAGCAGTAAAGAATCCACCTGCCACGCAGCAGACATGGGTTCCACCCATGAGTCGGGAAGATCTCCTGGAGTAGGAAATGGCAACCCCCTGGGAAATCCCATGGACAGAGGAGCCTGGCAGGCTATAGTCCATGGAGTTGCAGAGTCAAACATGACTGAGCGACTAAACAACAACAGGGCTGGGGGAGGCTGGTAGAGTGGAGAGCTAGAGCTCACACATGTGGGTTTTCTTTTTAGGGTAATGAAAATGTTCTAAAATTGACTATGGTGAAGGTTGCACAACTCCACGAATATACTAAAAGCTATCAATTACATACTTTAAATAGGTGAATTGCGAAGAACTGACTCCTTTGAAAAGACCCTGATGCTTGGAAAGATTGAGGGCAGGAGGAGAAGGGGACGACAGAAGATGAAATGGTTGAATGGCATCACTGACTCAATGGACGTGGGTTTGGGTGGACTCCGGGAGTTGGTGATGGACAAGGAGGCCTGGTGTGCTGCAATCCATGGGGTCACAAAGAGTTGGACACGACTGAGCGGCAACTGAACTGAAATAGGTGAATCCTATGGTATGTGAATTTACATTTCAATAAAGCTGTTTCCAAAAAAAAAAAAAAAAAACCATCTTCCTATGGTCTTCAAAGTCTTCCACTATGTGAGCTCATCTCTCTCCATTATTTTTTTTGCTCACTCTGTACCAGGCACTCTGGCCTCCTTCATGCCCTATAGACTCACCAAATACATTCCCAGCTCAAGCCACGGCTATGGCTCATGGTTGGGCAGTTTGTGCACTGAACAAAAAGCTCCTGGCTGAAGGGATGAGGAGAACTGGCATCTAGGCTTCTGCTTGCCTAGACTGGGACCAGGGATGCACCGTCTCAGAGGGGTCATCTTTTCTAATCAGCACACATGACCATGCTCCTGCACATACTGTTCTCTGCTTCTTCTACCCCTCCCCCACATATCCACATAACTTACTCCTGTTTATTCTATTCTGTGCTCAAAGGTCATTAGAGAGGCCCCCTTTGACCACCTCCCCATGCCCATACTTGTATCATGCTCTAACCCTTCACTTTCTTTTATTTTACTTCATAGAACTTATTGCCACTGGATAAGTAACATATATTTTGGTTATTACCTGTCTCTATTCACTAGAATGGAAGCCCCAAGAGATCAGGAACTTCGTTTAGTTCACTGCTATATCTTCAGTGCTTGGAATAAGGTCTAGCATAGTAGGTGCTCGATGAATATATATTTTTTGGCTGCAATGGGTTTTCATTGCTGCGTGAGGGCTTACTCTAGTTGCAGTGATTGGGGGCCACTCTGTAGTTGCAGTGTGCAGGTTTCTCATTGTGGTGGCTTCTCTTGTTGCGGAGCACAGGCTCTAGGGCACACAGGCTTCAGGGGCTGTGGCATACAGGCTTAGTTGCCCTGAGGTGTGTGGGATCTTCCCGGACCAGGGATCGAACCCATGTCCCCTGCATTGGCAGGCAGACTCTTAACCTCTGGACAACAAGGAAGTCCAATACATATTTCCTGAGTGAATGAATAAATGAAGTAAAGTCAAGTGATCATCAAAAGCTTAATCATGGACCAGTCTAAGCCCATTCAAGGTGAAGAGAAGGTGAGGTTTTCAGTGGACTGGATGGATTGTATAATGAGGAAAAGTAGCAGCATGTGGTACCTAAGTCTCAGGGACTGAGCTCATCTGCAAGACCAGGCACCATGGATCAAACCACGGGCCAGAGAGGGGTGAGTGCCGTCGCTGGGGCAGGAGCACGGGAAGCTTACCTCTTCTTTGGTGTAGTATTTCAGCAGGCCTTCTCTTGCCAGGAGGACAAACCTCCTTCTCAGGAACTGTGCGTTATCCCTTCCCCGCTTCCACAGGAACCCTTCTCGGTTACCTGCCCCCAAAGACGAGAAAGGAGTGAACCACCGCAGCTCTAAGGCCACCCGGCAATTCACTGCCTGGTGGTGACCCCATACCGTGCAGTCTCAGGGGTGGAATGGACCGCCCACCTGCTGCTGAAACGTCTCAGATCTGATTCAGCTATTTCAGCTGCAGGATGTGGGGTCCTCTTTGGGGAAACTGCAATGCTGTATGATTTTAGTTGGGGGTCCCCCCAACTTTCTTTCTTGGATGTTTCCTAAGAAGACATAGTAAACCTTTAGGTGGAGACTTCCCTGGTGGTCCAGTGGTTAACGATCCACCTGCCAATGCAGGGGACACAGGTTTGATCTCTGGTCTGGGAAGATCCCGCATGCTGCAGAGTGACTAAGCCCACGCGCCACAACTACTGAAGCCTGCGGGCCGAGAGCCTGCGCTCTGCAACAAGAGAAGACACCGCAGCGAGACGCCAATGCACTGCAACTAGAGAGTAGCCAGTGCAGCAACACACACCCAGCACAGCCAAAAATAAGTAAATAAATTAAACTAAAAGTTAAAGGAACCCTTAAGTAGGCTAAGAACTGAGAAACTGCACCGATTTTGAAAGAGGCCCAACTTCACGTTGATATCAGCCAACTGAAAGTCTCCCAAGTACGGGAATAATGTGTGACCTCTGGGTCCCTGCTGGTGGCTGAACACTGTGCTCCTGCTGGCTACGAGCGTTCAGCACTGGCTGCCTCTGGTCCTTGAGCGGTTTTGTATATTTTGCTCTCTGGGACAGTGTCCATTTGGACTCACAGCAGAGGGGTAGAATGTGCTGCAGGTCCAAGGCCACCAATGAGGTCATGGCCTGCACAAAGGTGGGAAGGGAGGCAAAACCAGCCCATTCTCCTTCTCAAGGCTTGTGCCACACCAGGGGCCCCCTTAGCCAAAAGCAGCTTGTCTATTTCTACCTGGTCTGCCCAGGGGGTGAATCTTCTTGCAATTTATACTAAGACTTGTACACCCTGTGGTCCTGCAAGGACCTGAAACGAATGAGCTTCTCGGCCAAGAAGACCATAAAACCCCACCAGCCGATGCGTTGCTATTTCAGAAGCAGAGGAACCCACACCTTGGTCTCTGGGGCCAGAGGGAGGGCAGCAGGTATCTCTCTGCTGACCTTCTTCCTAATACTCAGGTACTTTGTTTTCTAGAATGCATCAGAATCAGTCCTCAAAAGATAATGAAAATAACTTTACCTGGGTGTGAGATGGTTTTCCCATCGGCCATAAATTCCTGTCTCTCATACTTAGCTCGAATCCACTGTTCTTTTAAGACCCTAAAAAGAGAGAACCTTTAGTCAGCTGTGTCTGATGCATCCTCTCTTCATGGCAATTTTATGAGACCCTGTAGCTGAGGATGGGAGCTTCACAGCAGTGCCTGGCTGCCTGGCCAGGCTGGTCATGGTTTCTCCACCTGCATACTATTAACACTTGGGACCAGGTAATGCTTCATGATAGGGGACTATCTCATGCTTTGTAGGATGTTTAGCAGTATCTCAGACTTCCACCCCCCTGATACCAATAGCAACCCCTCCCAAGCTGTGATACTCCAAAATGTCTGCAGACAAGGCCAGTATCTCACCCGGGAATAATATCTCTCCCCAGGGGCTATATTCAAACCACTCTGCTATTCCAACCTCAACCCCAATCCTCTAGGTCACTGAGACAGATGCCAGCTCCCCTGGACCATCTACTCTTCCACATCACACTGTGTGTTCATGAGCTTAAGCCAGGGGAGTCCATGAGCCTCTCCCCAAGGCACACCCATGAGATCTGGGCATGCTACAATGGACAGAGCAGTGGTCTTGGGGTCTGACCATCTGGGACCTGGTCCTATTCTACCATTTATCCACTGTGTGACCAAGGGCAAGTTATACTCTTCTGAACTTGGGGAGTATTCCAGTAATATTATATCTACCTATCCGTTAGAGTCGTTGAAATGTTTAAATGCACACAGAGGGCCTAGTGCTATGCTGAGCACATAATTGGTGTTTGCTATTAGCCCAACCGGACATTGTCACCCACGACCCATACAGAAAATCCACACAGCTGAGAGGGACTTCATTCCAGTTGTTTGGTTCCCTCTTGCCTTTTCCAGGCAAACATTCCCAGGTTGATATGCCCTCATCCCATGGCCACAGGGAATGACCTAGAACTGAGTACCTGACCCAAATTGGTCAATCAGAGCTTGGCCCTGGGCTGTGGGGACCAAAAGGAGCAAAACTGAGAGAGGCGGATTGGAAGCCCTCTCTCCAGGGTCGAGCTGTGAGCTGGAGCTGGGAACATGGATATGGTGTTGCTCCCAGCTACAGGAAGAAGTATATTAAAAAGCAGAAACATCACTTTGCCAACAAAGGTCTATATAGGCAGAACTATGGTTTTCCAGTAGTCACGTATGGATGTGAGAACCGGACCCTAAAGAAGGCTGAGCATGGAACAATTGATGCTTTTGATCTGTGGTGCTGGAGGAGACTCTTGAGAGTCCCTGGGACTGCAAGGAGATCAAACCAGTCAATCCTAAAGGAAATCAATCCTAAATATCCATTGGAAGGACTGATGCTGAAGCTTATGTTTTGATACTTTGGCCACCTGATGCGAAGAGCTGACTCATTTGAAAAGGAGCTGACTCCCTGATGCTGGGAAAGATTGAGGGCAAGAGGAGAAGGGGGCGACAGAGGGTGAGATGGTTGGATGGCATCACCGACTCAATGGACATGAGTTTGAGTAAACTCAAGGAGATAGTGAAGGACAGGGAAGCCTGGCGTGCTGCAGTCCATGGGGTCACAAAGAATCAGACACGACTGAGCAACTGAACAACAACAGGAAGAAAGCCTGGCTGAGAGAAAGAGGCAGGAATGGGAACCAGAGGGATTTCAGAGACTTGATGGTGCTGGAGCCTCCTGCCTGTCCTTCCGGAGGGTGGCTCTACCTTCGTTCTTTGTGCGGTCTGATCTGAACCCAGAAAATCACCTTGTGCATAAGCTGGTTTAAACTGGGTTTCTGTTGTGTATAGTCAAGAGCCCTACTGAATGCACTACCCTTGCCCCCAGGACATGGAGGAACCCTGAATCACAGAATTAGAGCTGGGAGAGGGAATGGAGACCGAGATTCTGGAGGTGGAGAATTCAGAGGACTTTTAGAATTAGGGATGGAGGCCATTAGTATTCAACCAGAATGGGTTACAGTTCAGGACTGTAGTAGGGGTCATGACACATAGTGTCTACGTAGCACTGGCAGAGAGCCTTGAGTTCAGCAGGTGCTCACCAAGTACCCGGTCCCTTCCCCTTGGAGCAAAGGGTTGGGAGCAAAGGGTGAGGCAAAAGGAGCCCTTTCACGTTAAGCCTGGCACATCCCACAGCTGGGCCAGCCACCAGCCAGTATGCCACAGTGGAGATAGAAATAGATTAAAACTGGCACGAAGGGTTTCCCTGGTGGTCCAGTGGTGGAGGATCTGCCTTGCAAGGCAAGCGACACCAGTCAGATCCCTGGTCCGGGAGGATGCCACATGCTGAGGAGCAGCTAAGCCTGAGTGCTCCAGGGCCCACACGCCACAGCTCCTGAGCCCATCGTGCTGCGACTACTGAAGCCCGTGTGCCTAGAGCCTGTGCTCCACGAGAAGAGAAGCCACCGCAGTGAGAAGCCAGCGCGTCTCAAGGAAGAGCAGCCCCCGCTTGCTGCAACTAGAGAAAGCCTGCGCACAGCAATGAAGACCCACCCACAGCCAAACAATAAAAACAACTAAGTAAATCCTAAAAAAAAAAAAATGGCATGAGGGGTGTCTTTGAGATGTTTTACCCAAGTTATCTCCTTTAATCTCTACCATCATGCAACCACTCGGGCATCACTGTCTACGTTTGAAAGATGAGGCTGCCATGACTTGGCAAGTTCTGCTCCCTTGTCTACCTTTTCACAGCTGAAGAGTGACAGAGACATAGAACCATAACGGGGTCTCCTGAGTGGAAAGCTGGGCCTGCTCTGCCACTCCCAGGTTGTTTAAATACTGGGAAATGACAGGACACCAGGTACGGTTGTATAGTTTGTGCACTGTCCAACAGCGTCCTGCCCTGGTTAGAGGACAATGGTGGCGGAAATGCAGCCCATTTCCTGCAGGCCATGCCTCCTGTCTGCCTGGAGGTAAACTTTCTCCCCATTCACACTCCATTCACACTCAACCCGGAGGCTGAGTGCCTGGGAGGGAAGCTCAGGCTCAGGCCGTCATCCCTGCAGAGGTCTGGGGTCACTAGGTAACCAGTGTCACCCTCACCCGTCACCCCCGGGGACCTGAACCCTCCTGCTGCTCCATGGCATGCAATCCCAGTACACTGGATTTTTTCCCAGTGCCTTGGTACAGTCACAAAGGCCCTGGTGTCAGATGGGCTCGTCCCAGCTCTGCCTCTATCAGCCTCAGGTTTTTCATCTACATGGTGGGGATAATGGCAATACTGATCTCATAGGGTTGTAGAGAGAACGAAAATTAATACACACAAGCATTTAGCACAGGGCCTGATACATAGTAAAGCCCAATAAATATTAGTAGCTACAAGTATTTCTATGGTTATTATTTGGGGATCTGGGGCCTAAGCAGCTGAATTGGAGCTATGCTGAGCTTAGGTGGGACAGCTCTGGGCACAAGATTCCATGCAAAGTAGCTGAAACACATTGATTCTGCTAGAATACTGGCATTACTCTTCTTAATCAAGTTAGTCATCACCTGTAGGCTATGAGAACATCAAAGCAAAGGGACAGAAACTAAAGCAGATGTCCCATTTCACGGCTGTGGAAACTGAGTCCCAGAAAGGAGAGGAGACAACCCAAGCTCTGAAGGTAGAGAAGGCCTTACACAGATCTCTGTGTTCTCCATGTACCAAATGCTTTCCTGGCTCCACCTGCTGGGCAGGTCCACAAAAAAGACTCAGAGACAAAGGTACTGGAGATGGGGTAGAGGCGGGAATGGGTGGGACCAGGAAATGATCCACTCACATGCAGTCGTTGGCCTGGGGGATGTAGTAGAATGCAGGGACTCTTGCTTCATACTTGGCCTTCACTCGGAGGTTCCCATTGTGGGTCATAAACTGCAAGACAACAGCAACTTGGGGTAATGTTAGAACTTGAAAAAATGTGAAACGAAACCACAGTCCACCCAGAAGGTCACTGTTCTCACTGGCTTCTAGGCTGAGTCAGGAGACATTCCTCCTGGAGTTTGACATTTCCCCCAACCCAGCTTGGTCACGTGTGATGCTCAGAAGTCCCAGCCTGGAACAATGTAACAACCATGCCTCATACAGGCAGAGCACTTTACAGCTCTCCCACATTATTCCATTTGATCCCCTCAATCACTGTAATACTACTGTCCCTGTTATAAGGTGAGGACACCAAGGCTCAGAAAGGTTAGGCGACTTACCCAAGGTAACACAGCTAGTCAGTGGAGAGCTGGAATTTGAACCCAGACCTGCCTAACTCCAAAGCTCATGTACTTTCTCCACTGCCCTCCACAGATGGCCAGGACCACCAGCAGTAGTCCCTGCAAGTCCGTAGGAGATAGATGGAACTGGAGGATGCACTTCAGTGCTCCATCCCATAGAGTATATAGGTCAGGAAGATCGCACCAGAGAGACCCAGAGGCATGCATATGTGTCAGAAGTGGCCCTGGCCATCAGTCAGCACTCAGTAACATCAATGGCATTTCTGGGCTGGGGACACATGTGAAAAAAACAGCCCATTTTTAATCCATGTCTCTTGGAAAGAGTGAACCCTATTCTTCCCTTCCCCACTGGCCACTGGGCTGTGTTGCAGGATTTGCATGGGCTTTGGGTCTCCACAGAGCACGGTTCCCATCTCGGCTGTGCCATTTATTCACTGAGTGACCCCTGGGCTACACCTAACCCCCTGGGCTTCAGGGATCTCACCTGCAAAGATGAAGAAGCTATAACCAGGGAGTGCTAAGAGCCAAGTTGCTTCAGTTGTGTCCGACTCTGCGACCCCCTGGACCGTAGCCCACCAGGCTGCTCTGTCCATGGGATTTCCCAGGCAAGAATACTGGAGTGGGTTGCCATTTCCTTCTCCAGGGAATCTTCCCAACCCAAGGATTGAACCCGTGTCTCCTGCATTGGCAGGCAGGTTATTTTCCACTGAGCCACCAGGGAAACCCATAACGGGGGAGTGATGAGGCACAAAGAAACGACCTTCAGGTTTACATGCCGGTTTCCGGTCTTTCTCCTGCACTAGAATGTAAAGCTCCACATAAGCAGAGACTTTATCTTCACTGCTCTCTCCTACAGCCAGCAAATGCAGGCTTAGAGGGATGAATGAACAAAGCATCTAGCCCAGTGGCCTAGCACAGTAACTGGCACAGACAGGGGTACTCAGTAAACATGGGTCTGCTTCCCCGGTAGTCTTTGAAATCCTCAGCCAGCCTAGTTTAGGACTGTCTGCTCTCTGAAGGTCTTCTGGCCAGAATGGTGTCATCAGCCAGGCTGAAAGTGTTCTCCATCTCTGGAGATCAGAACAAAGTGGCTCCCTCCCTGGCTAGGGGGACTGGAGAAGGGCTATGGACCATGAATCAGGATACTTCTGTTCTGGTCCAGGGCTTCAGCTACTAAGAACAGCAGCTGTTAATTGACTACTTACTTTGTACCTGCCTTGAGTCAGCATTTAATCCTGATAGCAGCCCTGTGAAGGGAGAGTGGTATATTTATGATACACGTGTGGAAAGGGCCCACAGCTAGTGTTAAATAGCAGGCTCCGGACCTCGCAGCTTGCAAGTTAGGTAAGCAATGGAGCCAGGATTTGAACTCAGGGTGTCTGTCTAAGGCAACTCTAACTGTCTCCTTACTGCCCCTTTCTCGGCCTCAGTTTCCTTCCCTGGAGAATGGGAGCAGGCTCCTGTTCAAAGGCTCTCCACGTGCGCCCCTTGCTACCTCCACGATACTGTCGTCCCAGAAGTCAAGTCTGACGGATTTCACTTTGCTGATGTCTGGAAAGTTGCGGTGGACTCCGGAGCAGTTCAGACAGATAAAGATGCCCAGCTTGTAAGAGGCCCAGTCGGGATCTGCGGGGTGAGAGGGCAGGGTGGGGAGCTGGGTGAAGAGCTGGCTGACGAAACCCGGGCTAGGCTAGGGGCGCCGGGAGAGGCAAGGGTTTGGCAGGGTACCAACAGCCCATGCCTTCTCTCTCCGCCTCCCCGCCTTGCGCGAACTAAGATACCAGCATGAAACCCTCTGGCCAGCCCACTTGGCCCTGAGGCGGCTGCGGCGGCGGCCAGAATGAATATCTTGGAAGGAGTCCGGGGGATGGAGAGCGAGAGGCTGAGGCGGGCGCGAAGTGGAAGTGACAGCACTTCAAGGAACTGAGAGGGGAGCGCGGAAGGACTGACCCGCAACTCGCCGGGAACTGCGGATGGGAAGTGGGGCCAGAGTCCCTTGGCGTGCGCCGGGTCTGAGCGCGCAGAACCCCGGGGACGTCCGAGACGCGGGAGGGGACACTGGACCATCCGTGAAGACCTGGGTCCGGGGTCTGCGAACCCTGGTGTGTGGGATGTTTGGGTCTGAGGGTGGGGGAAGGGGCTGGGTCCGAAAAGAAGAGGTCAAGGACCACGGTCCGGGTGGGCAGGCTCTCTGGCAGAGGGAGGTGAGTAGAATGGGCAGGGCACACGGGGCTGGGATCCAGTGTCGAGGTCCAGAGGGGGCAGGCCAGGGGGCCCGGCTTCGAGTGGAGGCAGTACTGGCCGAGGAGAGGGCTGTCGGAGGCCCGGGTCCGAAGGTGATATAAGAGTCGTGCGCGGGGGTCTGGGACCCGCCCGGGTCTGGAGGCAGGGGACGGGACCCGCGGGCAGCGGGCGGGCCCAGAGTACCGGGCTACACGCGCCTCCGCGACCTTACCCGCCGCCCCGCAGTCTGCGCAGTACGCGTTGCCGGTGCCCGCCGCCTGCAGCAGCTCCAGCAGCCGCTTCTTGTTGCGCTCGCGGTCACCCATGGCCGGCCCCGGAGGGCTCAGGGCTCAGCCCGGCCGCCCCTCGGCCCGCGGCCGCCCATGGCCAGCTCGCTCGCCCGCAGGTGGAGCGGGGAAGCAGCCTCAGCTCCTGCAGCCAAGTCCTAGCCGCCAGCCCCGCCCCCGGGGCGTTAAGCCCCTCCCACTCTGGACTTTCCGCCCCGCCCCCGGCGCGTCCAGTTTGCCCCCCAGCTGCGCGGATCGCGTTCCTCTCTAAGACCGCACCGGTCCGGGAGGGACCCAGCGCAGGGCTTGGAGTCGCTCACTCTGGCCGCTGATCAAATCCTGGCCTATACCGGCTAGCGTTGTGACTGTGGACAACCTGATCAACCGCTCTGGCCCTCAATTTTCGCTTCTGTAGAAGGAGAATGAGGACATATGTCTTTGGAAAACTAGCAAGGCTCTAACTTCTGTTAAGGCATTCTCCTGATATAGGTCCTGTGCAGTGCTTAGTCGTTCAGTCGTGAGCTCTGCGACCTCGTGGACCGTAGCCCGCCAGGCTCCTCTGTCCACGGGGATTCTCCAGGCAAGAGTACTGGAGTGGGTTGCCACGTCCTCCTCCAGGGAATCTGGAAAGCCCAGGGATTGAACCCAGGTCGCCTGCATTGCGGATGGATTCTTTACCGACTGAGCCATCGGGAAAGCCCAAGAATACTGGCGTGGGTAGCCTATCCCTTCTCCAGGGGATCTTCCCGACCCAGGAATCGAACCGGGCTCTCCTGCATTGCAGGTGGATTCTTTACCAGCTGAGCTAGTAGGAAATATTGATGTAGATCCTACATCTACTTAAAGACATAGAGACGTTAAATGGCACCTCCTCAGGAAGCCCTCCTTGATACTTAGCTAGTTTGGAGTGATCTCTCCAGCTTCTGGTCTTGCTAGAATACTGGCCCTTATAGGGTCCATTTTTCCTTTTGGCCCTGAGAGCTTTCAACCAACTTTGCATCACAGTTATATATATATTTATGTTAATTCCTCCCCAACCTCCGACACACACTAGTTTGATGTCAGAAGTTTTATTTCTGTATTCCACACGGCTCCTAGAAACAGCATCTGCACATTTTTAGAAGTTCAATAAATAGTTGTTTGACTGTGTTCCCCAGGAAGTGAGGCTTTACCAATGGGATACCACCGGGCACTTTTATCTGAGAATGTTCATCACTTAAGGTGTGGGCGGGGTTTAGGTGGTCTTGAATCTGGGCATTTCATGAACCCCCCTGCCCCTTCCCCATTCCTGTCCCTCCTTGACATCATCCTCAGTGATGCACAGGCTCCTGGTAAGGCACTCGCTGTGCACACGTGTCACTCCCTCTGTATACAAACACCTATCTGTCATAAGCATAATGCACATGGATCTTCGGTTTCCATCCTGGTGGGTTGCAGCTGATCTTCTAGATGACCTGCCAGCATCTCCAATTCATCACACATACATATACGCATGTGAACATGTAAGACAGCATGGTATAATGGAATGAATTCAGGAAGCCAGACTTTGAATCTTGGCTCCATCACTTACTAGCTGTGTGGTCTTGGGCAAGTTCTTCACTTCTCAGAGCCTTGGACTCCTCATCTGTAAAATGAGGGTCAAGAGATCACCGAACAGGGTCATTGAGATGGTCGTTGGCACACAAAGCCCTCAAAACTCAGTGGCCCCCTTGCTTCCCCGCTGGGCAGCTCATGGGATCATCTGTTGGAATGCTCTGTGTCATTTCCCATCTTCTCCAGGGTGGAGGAGGTCAGGCCTCCAGGCCCTGGGGGAGGGGAATATGACCAAGAATAACCAGCCAGGACGGTCTTGGCTGTGGGGGTGCTGCCTGGCCTAGGAACATCTCCAGAAGAACCAGTGAGACAGCCTGGAGAAGGGTCAGAGGCTGTTTACCAAACAGGCCGGAAGATGATTCATTTCCGCTGCTTTACATGAAAAAGAGACAGAAATAAATCTCCCAGGAGAAAGATGGGAAAGGCAACCTAAGGTATGAAGGCAAGACAAGGGGGAAGCGGGGGACAAACAGGGGACAGGCCAAGGACACCATTTCTCCACTGACAATGCCAGGGCGGAATGGTGAAATTGGAATGGTTCTTGGGGGCCGTTGTCCCACTGAGCTGCCCTCCTTTGCACCTTGAATCTCAGCATCCCCTCTCTGGAAGCCCCACAAAAAAACAACTGAAGGGAAAAAACAACATCTCTTTCACGGTGAGAAGCCAGATATTGAGAGGTTCCTTTAGTTTCTTCTCTTCCTTATTTCTGGAAGTTTCCAGTTAACAGAATTTCAAGGGACTTCCCTGGCAGTCCAGTGGTTTGGACTCCGTGCTTCCACTGCAGCAGGTATGGGTTCGACCCCTGGTGGGGGAACTAACATCCCACATGCCGCAGGGCTCGGCCAAACTTTTCTTTAATTAAAATACATTTTTTAAACTAAAACAAACAAACAGAATTTCAAGCCTCAAGATTTGCCAAGAACAAACAAACAAACAAACAAAACCCAGAAACAGACCAAAACCAGTACTGTTATACTTCTGGTGATGAATTTCTTCCTTTCCTTCTTTCGTTGGGAAGGGGAGATAATTCTAATCTAAAAGCATTGAGTGTTATTTTAGAGAGTTTTACACTATTTGATTACACTGGCGTCCCATGACAGCCATCTGAGGGCAGCTTGCTACCTCATGGATGACCTGAGGTGCCCAAGGTCATCACCAGCAAGGGTGGGGACGGGGCTTACATCCAGTTCTCCTATTGCACTGACCGCCAAACCCCACAGGGCAAGCCTCTCTCCCTTTAGTCTTCCTCCCACAACTGGAATTTTTTTCCACTTTAAAAAACCTGTGACGAAAATCTCTAACATAAAGTTGGCTACTTGAATCATTTTCAAATGCACAATTCAACGGCATTCATTCCATTCACAATGCTGTGCAACCATCACCATTATCTAGTTCCAAGCGTTTTTCAAAGCCATAAGAAGAGACTCTGTAGCCCCCTCGTGGGGATTGGACATGATCAAAATCAAGCTCAGCTCTGCATTCGGGAGCCAGAAGCTGCTTCTAAAGGAAGAACTCTGTGCCAAAGGAGGTTGTGACCCAGCGGAACACTGGGATCAGCCAGAGGCAACCCCCCCTTGTCAGCTCAGTCCATACAGCAGCTGCTGGGGTGAGGGGGCAGTCGGGCCCTGGGACACAGTGTTCTCTGTAAATAAAGCTCCCAGGGTCCCTCAGAGCATGAACAACAGCGCTGCTCCCGGGGTCAAGTTCTCTGTCAAGCTGAGCCCAGCCTCGACAGGGCTGGAAGAAAGCCTTCAACCACATTCCCAAGCCTGGACTGGGCTTAAGATCCCCACGGGATAGGCCACAACTCCCTGGAAATTTTAAATAATTATATTTATTAGTTGTACACAATTTGAAAACTATAATTATAGGAAATTTGGAATACATAATAAAGAAGAAAGAAAACACCACCCACACTTGTGGCCATTTATTCAGGGATTGCTGTATGTCAGGCCCCTTATGGGCATTATTATTCCATTTCCTCTTCAATATAACCCTAAGGTGTAGACTAATTTTATGCCCATTTTACAGATGGGACAACTGAGGCCCTGAGTTCAGTTCAGTTCAGTCGCACAAACGTGTCCAACTCTTTGTGACCCCATGAACCACAGCACGCCAGGCCTCCCTGTCCATCACCAACTCCCGGAGTCCACCCAAACCCATGTCCATCGAGTTGGTGATGCCATCCAACCATCTCATCTTCCATTGTCCCCTTCTCCTGCCCTCAATCTTTCCCAGCATCAGGGTCTTTTCCAATGTGTCAGCTCTTTGCATCAGGTGGCCAAAGTATTGGAGTTTCAGCTTCAAAATCAGTCTTTCCAATGAACACCTAGGACTGATCTCCTTTAGGATGGACTGGTTGGATCTTCTTGCAGTCCAAGGGACTCTCAAGAGTCTTCTCCAACACCACAGTTCAAAAGCATCAATTCTTTGGCCCTCAGCTTTCTTTATAGTCCAACTCTCACCTCCATACATGACCACTGGAAAAACCATAGCCTTGACTAAACAGATCTTTGTTGGTAAAGTAATGTCTCTGCTTTTTAATATGCTGTCTAGGTTGGTCATAACTTTCCTTCCAAGGAGTAAGCATCTTTTAATTTCATGGCTGCAGTCACAATCTTCAGTGATTTTGGAGCCCAGAAAAATAAAGTCAGCCACTCTTTCCTCATCTATTTGCCCTGAAGTGATGGGACCGGATGCCATGATCTTAGTTTTCTGAATGTTGAGCTTTAAGCCAACTTTTTCACTCTCCTCTTTCACTTTCATCAAGAGGCTCTTTAGTTCTTCTTCACTTTCTGCCTTCAGGGTGGTGTCATCTGCATATCTGAGGTTATTGATATTTCTCCCCGCAATCTTGATTCCAGCTTGTGCTTCCTCCAGCCCAGCGTTTCTCATGATGTACTCTGCATATAAGTTAAAGAAGCACAGTGACAATATACAGCCTTGACGTACTCCTTTTCCTATTTAGAACCAGTCTGTTGTTCCATGTCCAGTTCTAACTGTTGCTTCCTGACCTGCATACAGATTTCTCAGCTTAAATACAGCTTAAAATTCTCCAAGCCAAAAAAAAAAAAAAAAAAAATCTCCAAGCCAGGCTTCAGCAGTATGTGAACCGTGAACTTCCAGATGTTCAAGCTGATTTTAGAAAAGGCAGAGGAAAAAAAAAAAAGAAAAGGCAGAGGAACCAGAGATCAAATTGCCAACATCCACTGGATCATCGAAAAAGCAAGAGTTCCAGAAAAACATCTATTTCTGCTTTATTGATTATGCCGAAGCCTTTGACTGTGTGAATCACAATAAACTGGGGAAAATTCTTAAACAGATGGGAATACCAGACCACCTGACCTGCCTCCTGAGGCCCTGAGAGAGAATCTAAATAAATTTGTCCAACCAACGTTACACAACTGAGACGATGCATACTGGATGATACAAAGGACTGGATCTGG